TACATACACAGCGTCCAGTATCAGAACTCAAACTAATGTTCAAAAACCCATTACTTTATGGCTGCCTTATAGATTGCCTATTTAGTGCCACAAAGTGATGACATCAGTGACATGGAAAAGCAGTAGTTAAACCAGAAGTGTCTCCATGGAAGGCAATGGCTAAAAGCCAGTGTGGGATTTTCTATGTCATTGGCTGAATGCAGAGAAAATAAGCTAATCAACCTGTGGGGGTGGCTGTTTCCATTTTCTTTTCTATTTAGTTACCTGGGATAGGGCAACAAGAGACACTGTTTTGTTTTTGTCTGTTCAGAATAAGGTAGTGAGCCAAATCCAAGAACTAGGAAATGGCTGACATCACGGTTTGCAGGCTGAAGAATTGGAATCCCTAGTGTTCTGGACTTAGTTTTTCCTTCAGAAGTTATCTTTGTAAACAAACATCGGTTTTAGTTTCTATTCGAAATGTTCCAAGAAAAGAAAAAAAGATGTACGATGAATTAGCACATGTATAAAGGAGTCATCTAGAAGTAAAGTTTTTTTTAAAAAGGATTAAATTGCTATGTACCCATTTATATCCAAATTGTCGTACTAGTTAAACATGCTTTACCTTCTCTTACAACATTTATCCCCTTCCAGCTCACTTGTTGTTAAGGACAAAGGGATCTTTTAGGCAAAAACATTAGACTGGACGGCTCCGTGGGAAGAAAGGCAGGTCAGGTGCAGGGCAGCGGGCATGCCTGAGGTGAGAGCAAGCAGGTTCTTCTGCATGATAACTTTCCTCCGGTCAGCAGGGGCAGCACAAGGGTGCCAGGCATGCCTTCGCCATGGATTTAGAGAAGCCAAAAAAGCTAAGGCAGCAACTTGCAACCCTGATTAGTGAGTGAAGAAAAAGGGATCTGAATGCCTGCCCTGTGCGTGGCAAAGATCTGAAAAGCCAGAATAGGCAAATTCAGAGCCCCAAGTTCCCTGTAAATCCTTAATTCTTGACATTTCTTTATTGGTTCCCCTTTGATTTTTTACAAATAATTTGTGGAGAATATATAAATATATATTCTTTTCTGAATAAATTAGATGTGGTATTGCCTTGGGGGGAGGGCTAGATTCACCTCTTCTGAGTCAAAAGGTAACAGAACTGACATTGCCCATCAAGGGGCACCTGCTCCTCTTATAAGCTGATTTTCTTCCCTTCCTCTGTGCAAATGCACAAAAGTATTGGTTGTCTTCTGATCTGAAAGCACACAAAGAAGTTTTTTTAAACTTCAGATGCCAGGGAATTTTTGTAAGAGCACCCCGTAGTACCTGCACATAAAAAATACTGATAATTACTTTTATACAATTTATAAAAATAGACTGCTGGGAACTAGGTAGACTAGAACATAAAAGTAACTATAAATGGTACATGGAGTACATATACACAATACTAATTTAAAACTATTTTAATTCCCAAGTATATTTGATATTTTTTAAATATGGTACATTACTTGTAAGAAATATTCTCATCAGAATAACGTATTGCAATGCTTTCTAACCGGTATTTTATAATCCTCTATTTTAATCAATAAAATCCAATTGGAAAACATTTTTAAGTTCTTTCTATACCTTTTCTTCTAAAATGCTCATGAATATTAGATTTTCTTTATGAAAGCAGTAGTGTAAAATTTAATATTTTTCTTTTTATGGTTTTTGGAATTTATGAAGATTTAATTGGCAACTGCTACTCCAAATATTCCTTACAGAGCAGCTTAAAGTATTAAAACAATTTTTATCCAAATTGAATATTCATTTAGTGTTGTGAAGAGTCTCACTCCAAGGATTTATGGCATCTTTTTCTTTGTGTTTCCCCAGGACTAAAGCCATCAATCTAAGATACAAGGGTACTTCAAAAAGTTTGCGGAAAAATAGAATTAAAAGATAATGCATATCCTTCCATGAACTTTTTGAGTGTCCTCATATGACATAAAAGCCAAATAGTTAAACACGATAGATTTCTTCCTGTTTTCACATTCACTCTGAGCTGAGCTGCAACCCAAATAGCAATTTTTTCTCAATATCTACAGCACGTGTGCTAATCGGTATCCACTTGACTGTTTACTCACACTCCATTTACAATTCTTTATAGTTATAACACTTCAGTGCTCTTCCAGCAAAGCTTACTTCTCAGAAACATCCTTCACATTTCTAATGAGTGATCACCCTCCTTCCCGGCAGTATGTAAGTAGGAAAAACTCTGAATATAAAAGCTGGCAGACTTCAGTGCTCTTCCAGCAAAGCTTACTTCTCAGAAACATCCTTCACATTTCTAATGAGTGGTCACCCTCCTTCCTGGCAGTATGTAAGTAGGAAAAACTCTGAATATAAAAGCTGGCAGATCTATCTGTCTGTCTGTCTATCTATCTATCTATCTATCTATCTATCTATCTATCTATCTATCTATAAATCTATAAAAGAGACCACTCCTCTTGGCTATCTAAAACATGGACCCATTTTCTTCATGGTTTTTGATGCTGCTACTCAGAAGTATCCCTACCGTTCTCCTTGTAGCCCATTCCCAGGATGACCTCAGGGGCTCTGTAATAACGTGTCACCACATACGGGGTCATCATGAAGCTTGTGCCTGCTGTCCTGGCCAGTCCAAAGTCGAGGATTTTCAATGTGCAGTCAGACTTGACTACAATGTTACTTGGTTTTAAATCCTGACAATAAGAGCAAGGGAAGAAATTAAAAGCCAGCGTCAAATGGAACCTGTGATTTCCATCCCTTCAATCAATATGTCAGTCTTGTAATACCACTGATGGGTCTCTTGCCTGCAGAGCCTATGTAAGGCATATGATTACTGCCACAAAGATGTTTGCAATTAGTTTTTTATTTTTTTTTTCAAATATCCCCAGAGAGGATTGTTTGGGTTTTTTTCCCCAGAAGACAGTCATATTATCATTTTTACAACTTAGACTTATCTCAGGAAGAGGTTTTAGAAAAAACAACCTATCATTAATTGTCATCTGTTAGGTTTCTTCTTAGGACAACATAAGCATTTTTAGCTTATATTTCATTTCTAAGCCTGACAGAAGAGCAGATTAGCTGTCTTTATGCTGCCAGAAAGGAACTATGGAAATGAACTGTCTTATTTAAGCTGCACATATGACCTCTGCCAGTCAAGGAGCTAGACAGCACGAGGCTTCTCAGAAGCTGACTTTCAATGAGCTGAAACATAACTTTAAATAAAATCAACTACTGTATAGCTAGAATTTCCTTCTACACTTTAGTGAACTATCTTCTATTTTTGTTATCAAAGAAATGAGGAAGCACATTATGTTTGGCAAAGCTGCCCTACATAAAGAAAATAATCTACAGTTGCTCTTTCTCATCTCTGAGAGCATCTTCACTATAATTCTCAAGTAGGTATTCTTACCCTGTGAATAATTCCAGCAGAGTGGAGGTGCTTGATACCACACAACATTTGGTATAGCAGGTAAGACATTCGCTCATGGTCTAATTCCATCTGAATCACCTGGCACAAGTTGGCATCCATCAGCTCCATTACTAAATAACTAGAAAGTAAACCCACAATGTTAGTTCCAGACCACAAGACCTATGAAGTCTTTTGATCAAGTCAATTCTCTCCTAAATCTGTAAGTCTTCTGAACTTCTCAGCTCTGCCCTTGACTGAATCAAACTTCCAGGTACAGTTTTGCACGTGTGTTAGCTATAGTGACTCTACCACAAAGCTGCTAACAGAAGTAGCATTTGTTAGGAGGTTGTTCATGCCCATATATTTCTGCCTTTGTCTTGCTCTCACGTTTCCTAGCACTCCCTCAACTCTTTCCCATGTGTTATGATTTCAAATAAGAAAAAAATTCAGAAAAGCTCCTTCCATTAAATGTAATTCTGAGTTAAATAAGACAATGTGCTGGGGAGCACTTCCTCTCCCCTGCTTTTTGTCACTATATTTACAGATAAACTCTTTTTGCACAAAATCAAAGGCACCACAAAAAGAGAAATAAAGAATAAAGATAATTTTACAGTGTCTCTTTTATGAATATTTCTCAAAGTAAGTTGACTCATTCTAGACAGCTCATGGAATCAATTAACAATAAATAGATAAATAAACAAGCCTTCCTGATTGAACCAAGAGCATGGAACACTGAAGCACATAGAACCATAAGGCCAGAAAGAAGCAAAAGTGCCTTCTTGGAAGTAACACCACAGACAGAATCTTCTCTACCTATCAATGGATCCCTTCCATGTGATCCCAGCTCTTACCTCCCTTTGGTCTCTACAAGAGATTTCATCTATTTGGGGGGAATTTTCCCCTGAGTTACTGGAATGCTGTGCTCTCCCTTTCTTCACAAGTTTTGTTACTTACACATCTTGGAACTCCTCCAGTGTTTTCTGGGGTGTGAAGACATTTAATAAACTAATAATCTGAAAAAGAGAGAGAGTAGAAGAAACAGAAGAGGGGGAAAAAGAGAACAAATTATGTAAAAAGTATGTTTAAACATGTGTGGATTGCAGCTCAAAATCACTCACTAGTGCTGTGACGGAAATAAAGTCTGGAAAATTTTGTAGAACGGTCTCACAGAACATAGAAAGGTGTATTCAGAAAGGACATATGATCTGTCTTCAGGTTAACAATGCAGTTTTAAAAGCTCAAATTGTTAGGCAGAAGGAGAGTCAGAGAAGATATGCCTTTAAGTGTGATTAAACAAAAAAGGAGGAAAAGCCATGTGAGAAGAGACAGCAGTAAACTGCTCAACAGGACTTAGCAAGGTGATATTTTTCCCCCAAATGTACAAAGGTACTCTATTCAAGAGTTTTTTGCATTGTTACTTTAGTTTTTTTTTTCTTTTAATTTCTATCTCACATTCAAATATTATTTAAACTCGTACTCCCCTAGTATGTAAGGGGGAAAGTGCATCTTGGATAATATCAATGATGAATTTAGCGGAAAATGTATAAAAAAATTATCTAAATTCAGTCCTAAACATTTTGTTTCCTTCTTTTATTACCTTATATATCATACAGTGAAGAAAATTACCTTCTAGCATGACTAAATTATGTAAAAAGTTCTTTGTCACACTTCCAAATAAATTGCATACATTAATAACTCAAAATGTTCTTCCAGCTAAATATTCTGTACTAATGTGCCAGTGAGAAATAAAAATAAAAATATATGGGTAACAGTACCATTATTATGCATTAATTAAAAACAAATATACATAGATTACAGATAGATAAAAAATCTTCAATTCACAAGATAGTTGCAACCACTTCACAAAAACTGGGTAAGTACAAGTTCAAGATTTAAACAGCTTTAAAACATGAATCAAGCAATTTTAGTAAACATGGTAAGTGGTACAGAAACACATGGAGTAACAAAATCAAAATAAAATAATATTAAACACCTGAGAAATGGAGTCAATTCTATGGAATGTTTTATGCCTCAAGTCACTTTCTTTGTTGAGAAATTATTGAAAATCACAGTATTTTCTAGTATACATATATATGGCAATGGTTGTACCATATCAAAAATACCCAAGATCATCTCTTCTAAATCAACCTTGCAGTAAGAAATATGCATATAGAGATAAAATTGTTTCAAAGTAACTTTAAAATTTGTGATTTAGATGCCTTGTTATTCCTCTGTACAATTAGTTGTAATGAGTGGTGAAAAATGTCTATGTGGTACATCTTTCATTAGAACATTTACTGTATGTCTGTTTCTTTAGTACTTTATCAATCTCATTAAGAAATTTCTTTTTTTCTTTTTTTAGGCTTTCTCCATTTTATTTCTTTGGGAAAGGAAAACAAAAAGTTTTTCCATCACATATGGTAGAGATATATTTACATATATTTATATATAATTTCTTTTGTGGTTGAACATCACAAAGCTGAGTCCATTTGTACTTTTTTCTATTTTTTTTTTTCCTGCTAATATCTTGTCTTCTCCCTGCCCCTGTGGCCCAGGCCCAGGTTCTGGGGCAGGTGCAGTGACAGGCAAGTGGAATAGGCAGTGGTTGTCAGGATGGCCTCCCACTTAGCTCAGAAACCTGGAGAGGAGCACCTGGAAGGGGCTGTGCTGAGGTTAGAGACCACACAGAGGGGCACTCCTGTTTTTGTAGGGGATGCACAGCTTATTAAACAGTCACCAGTTATGGGAGAAGGCTGGTCTGGGGCTAGGGAATTTGCTCACAGTAGTTGCCAGTAAGTAATTTATTTCATTTTAATATTCGTTCAAATAAAAACATTACAGGCTGTGTAAGGCACACACATACACACACAAACATACACATACACACTCACAAACATCCTTTAAAGATGGAAAAATACTAACATTACCTGGTGAACAAATAATCTAGGTAATCTAAACTAATCTAGAAAATAGCATTACAAGTTTAAATAAACCAAGATTATTTTTAAAGCTAACTTGTCTAGATCTATTCTTTACTGTATGTTTTTATTTTCCCTTTTCCTATGCCCTTGTTTTATCACGTTTACTTTTTCTGATTTCCCTTTGAAAGTTTCTCCTCTGTTCTTTCTTTGCTCCCTCATAAATTCTAATTCCTACTAATAACCAATTTAAAGACTTGTTTTTAGAAAGAGATCATCACAGGTATTTCCATTTTAGTTCAACAGTTTCCAGGCAGGGGTCTAACTCAGTTCTTTCATTGCAGCATCTCCAGCTGCACGGATGTGAATCAGTGTGTGTCATGGCCCCACAGTCACCCCACTTGTCACTTCCTGGAATTGAGTATTCATTTTATAAATGAATTTTCTTCACTACTATTAAAGATTTCATGGGATCACTTAATTGTTTTTCCTTACTTTCCACAAATTTAACGGAGCTCTATGTTCTGACTGCCTTTTACTCATTATTACAAGTACTGATGTAGAATTTACATTTGGTGTGTGTCAACTACCTCTCTGTTAACACATTCCAGAAATTTATTTCTGAGTAGACTTATATGCATACATACGTACACACATAAAAGGAAGGTAGCAGGTGGGATTCTATTATAAATTATCATTGCAATTTGGAACTCCTTTTTAGGTATCATAAATATGAGTCCCTGACATTTCAGTCAAGAATGGGAAGTATGATTCCTTCAAATTGGCCAAGTAAGTGAGTATTTCTCTATAATGTATTGCATTACAGGGTCTGGAAGAAGGATTAAGGAAATATAAATACTTGTATGGAAAACTTTCCATACAGTTGCTTGATTGCTTGTATTCATCTGTTTTTGTTTTTTTTTTTTTTCATTACCTATGGTATGTTTCATCCTGTTTCCTATCATAAAAATATATTGCATTGGTCATGTGGCTAATATTGCTCCTGCCTTTATTTAACATACTGAAAGAACAAATTAGTATAATGACTCTTCTTAGAAATCATTCTTTCTATCATTTCTACATTCTTCTCCAGAAGTCTCATGTTCGTTGCTTTGCCATATTAGAAACGGGAACATAGTTCATAAAATTTCCATTTCTTAGTGAGGCTTTCACTGCTCAACCTACTCAAAGGGTAACGCTAACCTACAACACACTGAGCAGCTTTTTTTGTCTTCCTTCCTTGCTTTGTTTTATTTAGCATGTCTCACAGCTGACATTCTACACATTCACCTGTCTGTTTTGTGGATTGCCTTTCCATCACGGGTAGGGCATAAGTTCCACACGGGCAGAGATTGGTCTCGACTTTCTTCACTGCTGTATCCTCAGCATCTAGAGCATCTAGCTCTGTGCCTGGCATATTTCATTCATTCAACAACTACATGTCTGTTGATTGAATTAAAAAATCATCAGAGTAGAGTAATAGGGGAAAACAGAAACACTGTCATTGGGCCCGAATCCACATATTTGTATTTCAAATATCTTTCAGCTAAACACGAATACATTTGCTTCTTTTCAATGACACTGATAGATGAGTAGCCTTAGGAAAAGATCATTTGTTTATAAAACTGCACTGACAATTTCATATATTCTGTGTGGTTTTCATACTTAAGAAAAATTTTATAGAGAGTTATGATATCTAGTACTATAATAGTTTTATTTATAATGGTTTATAGTATATTTTATTATATATTTATATGTAACAAAATGTTTAATACATTTATTATAATTTATTTATTAATAATTGTCATTATTAAAATTACAAATTCTTCCATGTCTATCCTTACTGACAAGTACTGGAGCACAGAGAGAATTCTAGCGGCCTTTGATTGTGAGTGAAGAAGCTTAGACTCTTATGTGAAAAATATCCTGCAACGGTCTACCCAGCTGAGTTCTAAGGAGAAAATGCTCTTGATGATCCTGTTCTGAAATGATTTGCTAATATGTACTTTCAACTTTGCCCAACCCTACAAAAAACAGGATGCTGATTCGCAGTGTGTACACTGAACAATCAGAGGTCACAGCCAGACCATATCTAAACAAAAAGGAGGTAACATGTTGAATAAATTCTTCATCTGTTAATAATTAAATCTCAATTATAAAAAAAAAAATCCAGCATATTATTTTGTAGGGGTTTTCTTTGTTTTTTGTTTTTGTTTGTTAGTTTTGCTTCTTTTTTGCAAAACATGAAGCTCTCTGATTAATTCGGGGCAAGATAACCAGATATAGTGGATTTTTTAACAGGGAAATACCTATAAAGCTCATCCCCTCTGTGTCATATAGTTTTTAGGTGATTTTTAAGCAGAAAGCTACCACGAGGACACTGAAATCAATATAGCATATGGGTAGGATAAACAATCTTTTAAGAGGCAGCAGTCACAGAGTAAGGAAAGCCTTTCCTACTCAACTTGGAGCACTTATTTCTTTCCCCAATCTCGCAACCTCCTACTGCCAGAGGTTTAAAAATAACAATAAAACTCACGTTTTTATGGTTCACACACTTCATGAGGACCAGCTCCCGGTACGCTCTCTTGGCATGTGTTTGGTTCTGAAAGGGTCTGCTAAGCTTCTTAATGGCCACATTTCTGTCAAGGACAGCATCATACGCAGCACTGCAGAGATCCAAGAGCAACCCAGAATTAAGAGAAAAGGATATATTACAACTCCCGCCTACCTAACTAAGGGTGAGCAAAGAAAATACTATGTGGGGACCCTACTCAGATACCAGCTCCTCAGGTGACATGCCAATTAGGCTGTAAGTAAAGACACAAGTGACTGGTATAAAAACATTCCACTTGTTAGGAAAAGGAAAAAAAAAAAAAAAAGAAGAGTATCTTGTCAAGAACATAGCATAAAATTGAGTGAGGAGAAAAAAGAAGAAAGAAAAGTGCTCAAATTTCCTATTAGCCATGTGACCATGGCAAGTCATTTAACCTCCCTGGGCTTGAATTTCTTTTTTTTTTTTTTTTTTTCCTTTTTGTCTTTTTTTGTGACTGGCAACGGATCGCAACCCTCAGTGTCGCACCCGTACCGGACCAGGACCGGCAACGGGATCGCAACCCTCGGTGTTGCGCCCGCACCTCGCTCAGCCAGTGAGCGGCCGGTCTGTATGTGGGATCCGAACCCTCGGCGGGAGCACCGCCGCACTCCCAAGCAGCGCACTGTAGCAGTGCGCCACTGGGCCGGCCCCTGGGCTTGAATTTCTAATCTATTCATACAGATGCTCCTCAACTTACGATGGGGTTATGTCCCAATAAATACATCGTAAAGCAAAAATACCCATAAGTCAAAAATGCATATAATATACTGATAACCCAGTGTAAAGTCAAAAAATTATAAATTGAACCATTGTAAATCAGGGACTATCTGCACATGATATTTAGGTTTTCTGTAGCTATAAAATTCCACTGATCTAAGTGGACATTCATTCTTCCCCCATTCACAGGAACCAGTTTTTAAGGTGTGGTTAATTACCATGCAAGCACAGGTTGGTTGATGATCAAAGAATACTCATTAACAGAAACAAAGCTCAAAATAAGGAATGCAATCAGAGGGGACTTCAGAAACATACATAACTGCATTTAAATACGAAGACAGAAATAAATGCTACTGACACATGAAGCTTTCAAACTCTTTGAGAAGAATTTATCATGCTTTAAAAAAAAAACAATCTAAATATATGGTACTCTTTCTCTCAGAACACATGGGTCTGGAGAGCAAATGAGAAAGTGAGAGAAGTTCTTTTTGCTAGTATACAGAATGATTTTAAAATTTGATTAATTACTATTATTATACACAATGTTTTTTATTGAAACATAATTGATTGTACATATCTGTGGGTTACAGCATTGAATATCAATACCTGTATACAATATGTGATGCTCAAGTCAGGATAATTAGTGTATTCAACATTATACATTGTAATAATTTTTTGTGGCCTTTTAGCATAATGATGCACTCACAAAATGTTTGTTTCCCATCTCTGCAACTTTGGGTTCTGCAGGGGCTTATCTTAGTTACTCGTAGGGAATGCAGAAACTGGGATTCCCTACAACTGATCTATTGAACTGGAAGTGACATTGACCATTTAGGGCTCATGCCACTGAACTAAAAGATTTTAAAAAGGGATTACTGTATTGTAAGATAATGATAGACTCTCAAAATAAAGTTGGGCAAAGTCTTAAGAGTTCATCTGGTCCAGCCCTCCATTTAATACTCATTCCTCTGCAAAATATCCTCACCAAAAGTTTGACCAGTCTCTGCATGTGCACCTCCAAAAACATGGAATGCATGGATGTCAAGGCTGTTCATTCTGTTTTGGACAGCTTTGCAAGTAGAAATGCCATCATTTTAATAATAGAGTTGTCTCTCTGTGGTTTATTGACTAATGTCAGCCCTGCCTTCTAGGGCAACCCAAAATAAAGTGTTCCCTTTTCATTATGATAGACCGTAATGTTGTAAATCTATGAAAAGACTTAGCACAATACCTGGCCTAGAGTAAGCACTCAGTAACTCTAAGCTTTTATTATTTTCCCCTTAAGTCTTTTCTTTCTTAAACTAAATATCACCAGTTTCCTATCACCATTTGTCAGAATGTGGTTTCAAGTCCCATCACCATCTGGTCATTTTCCTCTGACTATACTCCAGTCTGTCAGTATTCTCCGAAATGCGGACTCTGAACTAAATAAACCTTGTCACTCCAGGCATGTAGTGGCACTGAAGATTAAGGTAGGGCTATTAACTCCCTCATTCATTCAATCACTCACTCATTCAATAATCCTCTTCTGACAGAATTTATATAGCTAAGTCTGTCCTGGCTTCTTTGATAATGACATCAGACACTATTGACTCACAGTGAACTATGTTAATTTAAAAAACTATTGCCTGTCCGCAGTTGTGTGGAACACTGTGGTTTGGGGATCACTAAACTTCCACTGGACTCACTTGTGTTGTACCTTCCTGTACTAAAGAGACTTCAGAGTTGAATGTACAATTGCCAGAGGCCTTTGCAGGTAACACTCTTGATTCCAGTGAGGTCCTGCAGATGCACCTCTGAAAGATCTGCAAGGCAGAAGTGAGGATGGTGGTCATCTTCTGACATTACTTGGTTGGCAGGCAAGGTCTTGTGATGTGAGGTTTTCTTCTGAAGCAATGATTCAAGTCATTCTCTGGATTCCTGGGTGAGAGGACGAGCTGGAGCAGGGGCAGTAGTGGTCTCAGGTTCCAGTCCCCAGTCCCCAGCATAATGGAGTACTGATGGCGGCTGCGACAAGCGTATAGTTCCAGTTCTATGATTCCCTGATCTCAGGTATGACTGCGTGTTCTGGAAACTCAGTGGTTCTAGGATACTCTCAGATGTAGGAGCTCCGTTGTTGACTCAGCTGTCTAGACTCAGCTGTCTAGTGTCTGGGAGTCACTCCAGGGGGCCAGACTGAGCACCCTTCTGCAGGCCTTCCAGTAATACATTTACCATATTAAATCTCTGCCTGCTTAAAGTGTTTCTGTCTCCCGCCATGAACCCCTGACACTACTATCTTTCTCATTTTCTGTAATTCCACAGTGATTACTGGCAAAAGTTTAGCTAATACCCGGGCAGATTGGCAACATTGATGCTACACTGTCACAAATTGATGCCTGAAAGTTTTCTGTTATTTGAGTCATTTTGTTGTCTTTTTAATTCTTGGTCCATGAAATCCTACTTTTTTCTTTCAGCAGTTTTCTCTTTTATATTCATGCAAGTAAAAAACGAGATAAATCTTTAAGAGGATTTTCCAGCAACTTCCAGTAACTTCCCAGGAATTTTGCTGAAGTTCTTTTGAGCAACTTCTTGACATCACAGTACTAACACACCTCCACTTCGACAAGGTCTATTCCTAAAAGAAAGATATGGCCTATGCTCCTGTCATTTAATCCAGTTTTATGATGCCATAAAGCTGAAGAGAAGGGATAAGCAACAGCTGTTAATGTGCTGCCTTCATGAGCAGAAAAAAAATTGTAATCATTTAAATTATGCCTGCTTTATATCATTTTATCAAATGATTCAAATACAAAATTAATACATTGTGATACTAGTTTGATTTTTTATCCAATTCAATGACTCAAAGTAAAGTATATGGAAGTTCATTCTATCAAAGGTGAAAATCTGACAACAGTGTGTAAACTGTCATAGTTTTAGTTAAAAAAGTCAACATTGAAGATCGATTACTTGTTTTGTCAATTTAACACAAATACAAAAATATGGGAGAACATAATAATGCTAAAAACTAGGAAATCTATGGTATAGAAATGGACTTTGAACTGGTTGTGGTACAGTGTAATTCACATTGGGTCCAAACAAATTTCAATATTCTACAAATCAAAATAGAAGTTGTAGGTGCCAAGATTTATAAACATTTTCATACATACATAGTTAGAATAACTTTATTATAAAATTTTGGAGACAAAGCTGATATCGAATCAAAAAGGGGTCCAAACAAATTTCAATATTCTACAAATCAAAATAGAAGTTGTAGGTGCCAAGATTTATGAACATTTTCATACATACATAGTTAGAATAACTTTATTATAAAATTTTGGAGACAAAGCTGATATCGAATCAAAAAAAGTAAAGATACTTCAGCATGGCAATGGACATTTTCTTGGCATGCCTCATAATTCTGATTGAAGAACACCTTTTTACAAGTAAGTCCTCTAAATTTTGGATGTATTTTTCTTGCAAAATGTTTAATCATAGTATTTAATAAATAAGGCACCCTAATACTTCAAATCTTGAAATTTTTAGGGAATAGCTGTTATTATAAACAAAACGTGCAGATAGAAGCACACTGAAATGTGCTGGAAGAAAGTGAAACAAGAAAGGAACTGAACAAATAAAACAATGCATTCTCAAAGGCAGGACAAGATTTGATTTTGAAATTCCATAATTATGCTCTAGAATATCTTAATTTGTGAGAATGATCTGGTAAGAGTTTTTAACTTTCAGATATATTTATATTCTGTATAGAAGTTAATGGCTTCTAATTTCAGAATACTTATGTTCTGTACAGTATTGAAATATGATTGTAAAGGCCTATAATTTTTCAGCATCTAAATTTGGCAATCCATGCAAAAGACCATAAGTATAGGCAATCTATTTGACAAGTTCTGCCATAAAACTATTTCTTGAATAAAGGAACTCTAAATGAAGGGAGAAAAGTCAGTGACTGGGCTAAAACTTGGACTACATCATCTATACCGAATGTGTCAATTTCTATTTCATTAACCAAAACATGCAATTTTGAAGATTCCCAAAAGTTAAAAATAATAAAATCATGTTGAAAAACTGACTTCTTCAGAAAAATACCAGTAAAACCATATTTCAGACAGATAGAACTAAGAAGTTTCAGTTGATTAAAATATATGAGGATATATCAAGAATAATTATTCTTCTCATTTCTTTTTTAGTATCTAGGTAATCAATACAAATAAGGTTCAAATTTGTATTTGTATTTTTATTTTATTTTATAAGAATAAGTTAATTTAAAACAAATTTCAATAGCACTATTTTTACATCCACCTATATAATATACTTTAGGGTTCCTTTCACTGCCAAAATTTTCCTGGCTTAGAGATA